ATTGTACCCGACCTAAAAAGCCTCTGCATGTTTCTAATAAGCTCCACGAGCAGAAACGTGCTCAAACTAGGATCAATATTGGAGATGCTTTTGAAAAATGGAGAGAGGTTAGAACACAGAAAGGTTTACAGACCCATGCAGAGCTGGATAAACACTGAAGCTTCAGAGTCCACCACATGGTGACCTGAGTGAGGATCCACTCTAGAGAGGAGGGGAACATCACAATGGGGTTAGGCAGGAAGAAAAGTGGCCGTGTGTGTTAACATTTGCAGCTCAGTGTTGTGCAAGAGTAAAAGAGGCAAAGTCAGCTGAGTCACACTAAAGGAAAGTCTGGAGTGTTTAAAGGATCTTTACTCAAAGCCCCTTTTTGACGACTACATTAAACGGTTAATCAAAATGAATTACCAAAGAATCAGAAACGATAAACCTACGTTTTATTGGTCTGCTCGATGTGAAGGGAGAGCGTTGTGTAATCTTCATAAGTGTTGCAGTGTGCCTGATAGTCGTCAAAGAAAAAGAGAGACAACCAGAGGGTTTAAAGAGTCACGAGAGGCTGCAATTAATGTAATCCCTTCACTTGGCTTCAATGTCAAAAGAAACGGGTGATCACATCCCGATCCTCCGACTCATTCCCATCACACTGAGGCTGTTTCTGCTCCTTTTGCCCCCAAAAGGACTTAGGCAGCATCTGTCGTAGATACAGACTACTCAACAGTGAGTGAGGGAAACTAATACTGTGTACCATAAACAAGTAGAGGCATGTGAGGCGTCTGCTGCCAATGATTCACATCCACACACTGATGTTAACAGACTCAAGGACACATGTACACTTCTATACTCGAGGCAAAATATCTTGATTGCTTCTGACGCTTAAAACAAGTTGAATCAACTCTGCAGATTCTGATGTTGTAACAAATCTTGCAAAAACCAAATCAGGCGAGAAACAACAGAGGCGCTTAGTGCATGTGTTTGGATGAGTGAAGTAAAATGAATCCCCTGAAGGGCTCAGTGTTTCTTTTATTGACTCACCTTCTCAATCACCGCAAGCGACGCTGAGGTCATCCAAAAAAACCTGAGTAGTGACTTTATCGCAAGAGCATCTTGAAAACAAATCCCTGCACAACGGGGGGGGGGGGGGGATGTGTTTACACAAGAGGTGAAATACTTTCAAGTTGATCGAGACACAAAGAGAGTCTGGAGATCGCAGAGACCGATAGAAGAGCAGTAGAGGGTTAAGTCTTTAACCTTTTTCAGAGGTTTCAATCAAGTGGTTAGACTTGCCAAGTTTGTTTTGGTAAAGTCTGTGCCGATGTTTAAATCTGGTAGAAAGTTAAAGCATTTTTTTTTTTTTAAGATTTATTTTCTATGCCTTTATTGAGACAGAACAGTTGACCAGAAACAAAGAGAGAGAGAAAGCGAGAGAGAGATAGAGAGATAGAGAGAGAGAGAGAGAGAGAGAGAGAGAGCGAGAGAGAGAGACAGAGAGAGAGAGAACAACAGGCCACAGGTCGGACTCAAACCCAGGCTTCCCGCTCTACATACATGAGGAAGGCAATCTCACTGTACCGAGCCATTCAAATTCAAAATATACAGACTATCAGCGCATCAGGCCATCTGAAGTAGTTTGCAGTTTGATCCAGCAGGGGGCGATCTCGCCATTACTTGACCTTTGCGTGCACTCTTGACCGCAGTAAATGAAGACAGCAATGTTGTGGCAAAAGCAACGAGGGCGTGATTCAGGAGATGTAATCTTACATGAGGTAGACTCGTTTCTCTGCATACAGCGGTCCACTGCCGATGCTTTGATGGAGACACAAAGATACCTGCAACTCTCCAAGCTGGCTCGCAAATATTTGTGTGTACCAGGAACATCTGTTCGACTCTGAACGGGTGTTCTCCACAATCTAACTTGCTGATTCTACTTTTATTGGGGGATATGTTGTACTACGTTTCACCTTCTATAATTATCATCATTTTGGACACAAAGGTTGCTGTAGAACAGAGAGACATAGTGTAGTTTTCTTGATCCGTACAGTCACACGTGTGCTTAGTGCACAGACAAAACAAGACCCTTTATCACTCTTTCACTTGTGTACAATTCAAGATTCATGTTTTGAGAGTTGACCTCAAACCCATCTGACAATTTTTTCAAACAATTTTGCCAGCCAGGTGGTATCAGAGCCTGACTTTGCAATGCTCCTGCTGCAGCCTGGATCCAGCTGAGAGCCTTCTCTTAAGTGTGGAGGCTGAAAATGAAAACAAACATGGGCGTGATGTTTGGGTTTCGACATTGCATTTGCATATAATAAATTAAAGAGAGCACCGCAGAGAAGTCGAGGACGAATCAGACGTCATGTTGCAGGAGAGAGTGTTTGATGCAGTGTCATGTACTGTAGTATCAAAAGAAAGCACAAACTTGAACCTTTTACTTGAGAGTCATGTTACATCTTCAGCTGCACAGAAAATGTCAGAAAAGATTTTGCTTTTCAGGAGGAAGGAAGCTGCCACTTTAACACTGAAATTGGGGCCCTTCGGCGAGCAGCAGTCATCTCTGAAGCTTTCACACGGTGAAATGTCACCTGTCACACGCACTCATCGTCTGGCTGGTGCAGTGTGCATCAGCTCGGTCCGAGGCCTGCGGGGCCTGAGAGCTGTGGCGGTCGTCATGCCCTGTGACTGGGAGATAGAGACCCGGCACCTGGTTTTCAACCGCCTATATTTACCGTCCTCGTTTGATTTGCGAGCCAAAAGTGGAGAGTGAACATAATGGGCTGCCCATTAGCCTTCAAAGATTGGGATTTAATTGTGCTGGCCTATTTAAAATTCAAATACTGACTCCATGCAGCCAGTAGCCCGTTCCCTAAAGTGAAGACCTTGCATAGCATGTTGAAAATAAAGTATTATATATATCAAAGGCTTGGTGGAACCAAGAGAGTGCAGCGAGTTTCGAGAGAAGCAGGACTATCTGAGCTCTTCCTTTTTTCAACATGGAACTTCAAAGCTACTGTCCAATAACAAGAAGCAAAACTCGTCTGTGTGCTCATACTTGGAAAGGACGCGAATAGCCAAGAATACACACGGTTCATTTATTCCATTTGATGCTCTTCTGTGGGTTCTGTGCGTATATACGCTCGCTCGTGTGACGTCAGCATATTTCAAACAGCCGATTCAACTGCTGTCAAACGGGGAGAAAAGAAAAAGAAGTGTGAGAGGAGAAAGATGCAGAGAGAGGAGAAGCTAAATGACAACAGAAGAGAAGACAGAGAAAAAAAAGCATGAAAGTGAGCGAGAATAGAGATGAGCGAGCGAGGGAGGATGTGAGGAGGAAGACGTCGAGATTTAGAAGGTTTTGATCATCTACAGTTTCCTTAGAGAGAAAACGCTTGTCTCAATTAAAATCCTCAAAAAGCACTCAACTCTTTTTTTTCTGAAAGTCTTGTAAACTCTTATCTGTGTTTTTGTCGGCTCACATGAATGAACTGAAGACCCTAAAGTCGGAGAAATGAATCTTGTCGCTGCACAAACACCTTTTTATTTGTGTAAAGAAGGAGGAAGCAACAGGGACAAGAACATCTGGTTTCCAGTACAAACCTGCCCCCCCTCCCCCCCCTTTGTAACCCATAACCTGTGTTTAGTGCAGGGAGGATTCACACACAAGACACAGCTCAGGACCTGTTGATTTCCCAGCATGCCTCGCTCACATTCCTGACCTCCTTCTGTCACTCTCTCACTTGACTCAGCCCCACACATCTACACACTCAGACCCCCCCCCCCCTTTGCACCTTCACATTGATGTCTTTGAGTACAAGCTGCACAGTCAAGTGTGATTCAAGGGTGTCTGACAGGAAACATTTCAACAACTAGAGGGAGAAATGTCTGCTCTGTCAATCAAACTCTTAACAGTATTCACACATCTCAACAACTTTTTTTGGTTCTATTCCACACAGAGAGAGAGTGAGGTGACCTGACAAAAACCGTGAGAGCCGGCACCCTGCAGAGTCAGGAATGTGGTGAGACGGCCAAAAGGGAATGATAAGACCACTTTCTTAAACCCCTTTGCCCCCGTTTCTTAATCTGCCCCCCGTAGAGACAGATGCAGAGGGATAGTGACAGAAATCACATGAGCAGTTATTCCTCTTTTCCTCCAGCAAGGCAACGATATATTTTCTGTTTCCCAAAAAAATGAACCTTCCTCATGAACTCAAATGAAACAAAGACAGCAGGATTTGAAAGCACAAGGCATCAAGGGAAAGAAAAAGTAGCTACACCAGGTTTAACCTCAGTTTGTTTTGCAACCTCTTGATGCAAGGTTATGATTTTTCACAAAGTGTGCATTCAAAAAAGATAAAATGTAATGCTTTAACTTTCTACCAGATTTAAACATCAGCACAGACTATACCAAAACAAACTTGGCAACTCTAACCACTTGACTGAAACCTCTGGAGTGTGCATTCATGCGACCACTTCCCAGAGTTGTACAATCACACAAGAGAGGACTTTGAGACCTCCAAGACTCAAACTGGACCTCGTGGTATCTGGAGCAACATGGCTTTCCTTCAGGCGAGACACTTGCTGTTTATTAACTCAGTGGAATCTTTTTTTGGTTTGAAATGCTCGTTAATTGGAAATGCTTAACTGGAGCTTCCAATCCCTGTGCCCTGGTGACAGGAAGAAGATCCAAGATAACCTTCAAGAAGACCTGATCCAACCCCGTACTGGATGCAGTGATTGGGAACGCAATGGATGAAGAACGAGCGATAAAAACAAGAAGAAGAGACGAATAAAATGATGAGTGATATGTAGATAAAGGACAGATAATATCTGACAAACCAGCATTGGATCTCACTCTAAAATGCAACAACAATGATTGACAGTTGTCGATTGTTGCTTTCAGTCAACAATCAAAGTTTCTCATGAGAACAGATCGCTCAAGAAAGTAGAGCAAAGAATCATGGGAGCCAAGTTGACCTTCAGGTCATAAAGTTTGGTGCATTACTTACTGCGCAGAGAGCCTTTAGGTGGACTGATCCTGCTCTTGGGGTGGACCATCTCCATTTTCTCGCCCTTCTCTCCTTGACTCTGGTTCTGGGCCTGAGCTTCTACTTGGGTCTGTTTCTGTGCTTTCTCCTGTTGCACAGAGGCCGTCAGAGACTTCTGTCTGCTCAGGACCCCATCGCTACCTGCCCTCATCAGCTTCTCCCCAACGCTCACCACCCGGGCTCGACCCGTGCCGGGGCATTCCTTCCTCGGCGATGGCAGCTTGGATCCAGATCCCAAAGAAGAAGGGGGGCGAGCCAGCCTGGAGGCTTTGGACATCCTGCAGGTCAGTACGGGCTCCTCAAGTCTTTCTCAGCCAGCCAAATCCAAAGGCGTCTGAGCAATCAGTGAGTGACTCGGTGACTCTGCAGCTTCCAGCGAGTTGTAACTAGTGCAGGTAGGCTGAGTGGGCCGGAGACAGAGAGAGAGGGAGGGCACTTTTGGGAAGAAGGGTGAGGGGTGGGGGGTTAATCAGTCCTTGGAAGGTGTTCTCCTCTCCTGGCGTGGCCTCCTGGGATCATCCTCCAAAGCAAACAGTGTGAGTGTGTGTGTGTGTGTGTGTGTGTGTGTGTGTGTGTGTGTGTGTGTGTGTGTGTGTAGATAAAACCTGTAGAGTGACAAGGCGTGCTGTGCCAAAAGCAAACAGAAACTCAGGTCTCTAGTGTAAGCACATCCCGGCTTCTTAATCCCTCCTCTCGCCTCTCCTCCCGTGTTTCACACTCTTTCCTTCTCCTTCCCTGTCATTTTTTTTTAGTAAATCCCCCCGCTCCCTCTCTCTCTCTCTCTCTCTCTCTCTCTCTTCCCTCACCCGCACTCATAATAAGGTTGTCAACTCTGCTCCTACCTCACGCCTTGTAATTCTTCCCCATGTTTTCTGTCCTCTTGTGCCTTCCCTCTCCTCTCCTCCTCTCCTCTTTTTCGCTCCGGTTCACTCGCTCCTCTGTGCCGATGCTCAGCGGGTAACAATTCCAGCGCTCAGGCAGGCGGAGACCAGAGAGAGAGAGCGAGAGAGAGAGAGAGAGAGGGAAAGATTTAGGGACAGAAAAAAGAAAAAAGAAAGGGCACGAGGGAGAAAGAGAAAGTGCCGGCAGAGGCTTTGTGGAGGAGCCCTTGTCTTCAGGTGCAGCTGCTCAAGCTGTTCCAGATGTGTGTGTGTGTGTGTGTGTGTGTGTGTGTGTGTGTGTGTGTGTGTGCAGCGCTTCACGTCATCGGCCAAGCGCTCAAAGACACACTTTGGTACAATCCCCGGCTTCACCTCGTCCTACTTTTTCCTCTTTCTTCTTCATCTCTCTCTCTGTCCGTGTCTTGTCCCACTACTCCAAACGGTCTGTTCTCCAAACACATGCAAAGAGATTTTTCATGCAACCAGAGGCAAAGAAACGCAACCGCACAAACACACCAAACCCCACATTCACTGCTGGAATTTACTGAAAATTAAAGAGCGCAAAAGGAAGGGAGCGTACCAGCATGTGTGTGTGTGTGTGTGTGTGTGTGTGTGTGTGTGTGTGTGTGTGTGTGTACACAAGAGACGCACAGTGGAGCTGTTCTGATCTCTTGCACCGAAGGCATCAGCTGTGACGAGAAAAAAATACAGCCGGAGTTTTCTGAGAGAGAGACGCAGCACGGGAGAGAAGATCAGAGCGTTTCTTCCCCGCTTTTTTTTTTTCTTTCTTCCCCCTCTGTCCTTAAAAATAAAAACTCAACTTTCTCAAGAAGCTTTGACGTTGCTTCTTCTTGACAAATCACGACCAACATTTGTCTTTGTCTGACACAGAAATGTCCTCTAGAGTACAGTTATCACAACCAGAGCAGCACAGACACAACATGAGGTCGTCGTGAGGACGGAGAGATAAAGCAATAAAAACAACAACTTTAAACCATTAAAGGCTTTATATGTGATGTTTTGATCCAGCAGATGTCGCCCTTGAGCACCAGCATGAAACCAAAACAACTGGCGCTGCATTGTTGTGTTAGCATGCTAATGCTAGTGATCTTTATTATGCTGGTATCTTCACACTGCATGTAAATTTACCTGAAATGAGCGTGATCTAGAAACACAGTTAAGCAGTGAGTACAGTATGTTATTCTTCTTTTCTCTAGTCCCTCAATTAAACAACTGTTATACACGAGGGGAGGAGTCAGCCGGCCGTCCTGGCGATGTAAACAAAGTGAAGATAGGACTCTGAAAACTCTGAAAACATCACAGACAGTGGGACTCGGGTGTTACACCCATTGTAGACAGTCATGACTCACAGAGTTATTTTCAGAGGAGATACTTGATTTATATTATATTTAAGTGTGAAAAAAACAAATAAAGACTTTAAGGAAAGAGTTTTGAGAGGAACAGGTCTTGATTCTTTCTGTAAAAGCACATTATGCTGACACTGTTGCGTCTGGAAAGTGCACAACAGAACAATCCTATAAACTTGTCTAATTGGACTAACAGTGTGTAGACAGGTCACCTAACCTGTGACACTTGTTGTTTAAGACGCCTCGACATGCTGAAGTGCTGGGATGCTATTGCGTGCTCACCAACTAAAAAACCTGAAAAAATGGATTACAGCGAGCAAAAGGATCAACCGTGTCCAGCGCAGGCAACATGTTACAAAAGAGCAGCAATCCACATAGAGCGGAGCAGCACAGGCATGGATTTACACGCAGACGATTTGACAAAATGCATCCCAGTTAGAAGTCCCTATTATAAAAAGAGCAGGATGAGATGCCCTCTCTTATCGGCTGCTGAGTTTAGAAGATGATTATATTCATGGTAGAAGTTTAAACAGGGATTCAGAGGTTAATAAAAAAATCACTCAAGATTTGATCAGTTCCTCCACACCCAGCCCCCCCCCCCTCTCCTTGTGATTGCCCTTTTGCCTACTAACCCTTCTGAGCACCTCAGACAGCCATCACTGATTGTATAGATGTGAAACATACTAATCATATTTCAATGTATCTGCATGGCTTTAGATAAAAAGAGCAGAGCAGATTGACCTACATACTTTGAACCGTTTGCTGACAAAATCGGCGTGGCTAAAGAACCTCACAGGAACTGCTGCGTGCATGTCTGATGGATTTTTTGAAAAAAAGAGAGAAAAAGAAAAAGACCAGAGAGACATTTCCATAAGATTAAATATCAGAGTTGTGCCAGATTATATTTGTGCGTCATCAGATTGGCCGCTATGTTTACCAGCAGCGTCGTAGTACAGAGGATTATGTCAGACCTGAAAAAAAAATCTGACCACGGGAAACACACGCTGCATATAGGCTTCAGGGAGGGAGTTAATGCTAACTTTCTCATCGCATGGTTATATGGCGTTCTGCGTGTGTGTGTGTGTGTGTGTGTGTGTGTGTGTGTGTGTGTGTGTGTGTGTGTGTGCATGCTGGGAGTAAATGAAAGCCCTCTGTGTGGACTCCCAGGCTTGAAGCCAGTTCTGACTGTACGGTAGAAGAAGAATGACGGGAACTTGTTTCAAAGGTTTGAAATAACATGGCATTTAGAGGGATGGATATAATTTGAGTTTCCTGATTAAGCCTGTGATTTTGTGCAACGTGATAGATCATAAAGTACGTCTACGTATCCAAAAACAAACCAAAACATTGACACACTATCCAGCCATGGAATCAATTTGCATTTCAAAACTAGACCTGGAAAAAAAAAAAAAAAAAAAAGCAACCGCAAATATTTCAACCTTTAAAAAAAACAACTTGTGAAAGATGATGATTATCTGAGGGCTTGGATTTAGCTCAGACAATAATGACCCCCCCCCCGAATGATGAAAGTGCCACCCGCAGCCGTCTGAGGTGAGAACACTCTGCCTCAAAAAAAAACGCCAAAGAGGCGACTAATGTTTCACTTTTTCAAGCAGGGAGGCGGCGGCGGCCGTCTGGTGTTGGAGAAGTTTGAGATGTGGAGCAGTGGGATGAGCGGTTATGGAAATATATCGGTGCAGAAGAATTCCACAAGTCCTGCTTTTTACCCCCCGTATGATTCATGCCTGTAGGGGAGGGGGCTGCTGCACATATTTGAGGAGGTTGGTGGGCTCAGCGAGAGTTGTCTGAGTGCATCTGTGGTATTTCTCTAATGAACTCACGCTTCTGTCTGGAGGTTATTGTTTTTTTTTTTTAAAGGGAGGAAGCGGTTATAAATGAGTCGCTGCCCAAGCTGAGGCCGCTGTTGGTGTAAAAATCTGCAGTTTTTTCAAACATTTTAACTTTGATATAAACAAGAATCTTACAGTGGAATGCAACAGACTCTGGAGAATGTGATTTAGATTTCAGGGGTTACTCGCTACTACGCCTTCACTTTAAAAAGAAGAATGTGCGACTTTTTGATCCAGTAGATGTCGCCCTTGAGCACCAGCGTGAAACCAAAACAAACTGCTGTTAGGCCACGCCTCCTCCATACTGAAGCCTCCGCTCTCCTCCAGAGACACACCTCCAACCCCCCCTCCACTCATGACTGCACACAGGAGTTATCAAATTGGAAGGCACAATAATTAAACATTAAGTGGCTGAGAAAATCGTCCTTGTCTCGAGCTGCGTTGTTGTGTTAGCATGCTAATGTTAGCGCTCTTTAGTTAGCTCGTAGCTTCACATTGTTGTGTTAGCATGCTAATGTTAGCGCTCTTTAGTTAGCTCGTAGCTTCACATTTCATGTAAACTGACACAGAATGAGCGTGATCTAAAAACTCTTACTAACATCCAAATAATCAGTGAGTATGTTCTTCTTCTTCTCTCTAGTTCTTGACTAAAACAGCTTTTATACACAAGGGGAGGAGCCGGCCGTCCCGTCCATGTAAACACGGCTCTGACAACAACACAGCCAGCGGGACTCGAGCTTCTCCCTCATTGTAGACAGTCAGGACTCAGAGACACATTTACACAGGACAGACTTTATGATTTATTTATGTGTTACATGTCGTACATTCTTCCTTTAAGGAGTTTTATAGCCTCTTTCAGCTTAATTGATGCACTGCTCATATAAATATATAGATTTAAAGACAGAATGACCGGCTCTTTATGGAGCAGCGTAAATCCAAAGGCGATGTTTTTACAGAACCTGGTGGTGAGCTACGTCGGAGGATTTGAGAAGATGTTTTGGGGGGGGGGGGTGAGCCGTGTACCTCTCTGCTCAGGATTAAGGTTGAGTCTGTTTTCCAAGCCCTCGGGGGTTGCTTGTTTCTCTTCCTACATTCCATCTCAGCGCTCCCTCCCGACCATATCATGACTCATTACTGACTGTTACACTCACTCTAAATCAGCTGCTGTGTCTGGCTCTGAGGGCACACACACACACACACACACACACACACAGACACACACTCA